AGCCCTATCACGACACGGAGGAGAACTTATATTAACCAGCTTCTATCCTGCGATATTTCTCCGCAGCTGTTCCCCGTTAGCGTCAATTCCAAGCCTTGGATATGTCCACACCATGCATACGCCGAAATGCCCAGATCACATGCTATCGGCTGGACGCTCTAGTTTGTGCGAGAGCGCGGACGTGCCAAGCATGCAGTGGACTATTTTTCGTCGCGCAATTATTCTTTCTTCCACCATGGTCACTGTGAAACGCTCCTGCGACCGCAATCGGGATTTCACAGCGCGCGATTCAACTCTCTTTATAGAACAGACGACTCCACTGGCACGATCTATATGTCCCCTTTCACAATGTCACAATGCATCGCGATATGGCCTCAATACGTAAATACCTCGAGTATGTCTGTTCTGGTCAGAAGGGAGTCATACTCTGGATCAACTGGAGGTCTTGCTACCATTTTTATACATCGCGACAACGATGTTACCCTTGACACAAGATGAAGTCTTCCGGCAAATCAAACAAAAGGCCAAGCGCAAGCAACACGAAAAGACGGCGTTCACCTCTGGCGTTGTCACTAAGCTCCTGAAAGACTTGTACAATCCCGAGCTACAGGGTAGCCTATTCTTCTATTCTCAGGACGAAAGCGGTATTCCCAGACGTAAAGTAGCTACACACGCAGCGAATCGAAAACATTACTGCTCGGTCGCTCTGGAAACCGTGTTCAACGCAGAACATTGGCATGACCAGACTAAGCCAGCAGCCTTCCGAGGTAACTGGCCTCCCAGCACAATTGAGGGTCTTATTGGAGACGTTGACGAGACCGAGTCCTGCATCGAGCCATGCCCCAATTGCGAAGCACCAGAAGATGTCGCACATTGTATGTGTGGATACAATGCATGGGTCAAATATCTGCATGGCTTCTGGCTCTCTCACTTACTGCTACAGGACGTCGGTTCGCGCGGTCACGGTGTTTTTGCGCGCAAGGTGATTCACGAATCTACCATTGTAGGAGAGTATACAGGCCAGATCATACCTTTGAAAGACGATGGAACTCCAGCTCATGGACGAGATGCTTATCGCGTCGGGATCTCGATCGGTAAACCAAACTCAGACCAAACTCAGACACACGCCACAGCTTCTATAGACGCTCTTCATACCGGAGGTGTGACTCGCTTCATCAACCACTCTTGCAATCCGAATACGGAATTTGTAGAGATGGTGTGTTCTTTGGAGCGTCGAGCCGTTTATGTAGTCACAAAGCGAAAACTCGCTATCGGCGAAGAGCTGACACTAGACTACGGTCCGAAATGGTTCAAGGGTAACCAGTACTGTTTATGTCATACAGCTGACTGTAGGAACCCACGCAAGATATCCGAGAATGCCGATGCATCCGAGGTAAAAGTCAGCGGAGATGAGGTCGCAGACGAAGAAGGGGACGAGGATGCTCCGGAGAATGCTTCGACAGCGTCGGATCATAGCGCAAGTTCCAGTGAAGCATCTGATAAATATGCTCATAGCCCTCCTTCTTGAGTAGCTACTGTACACGAATTTCTGGATCTATATGGAAAGGATGAGATGTCCGCGTTCAATCTACCAAGGAGCCCTACTTCCGTTGATCAAAAGTGGGTCAGAGATCTTCTCTTACTTAAAAGCCTCAACTGTAACTGACTCCCCAGACTCAAGCTTGGTCGCGCGTTCATCCGCAGGCTATGTCAAGAGTGCGCGGAGCTTAAGATCGCCTCGATTACGCTGTCGCCCGGGCAGACAGCTATTCGGCCCTTCTCCACGTGGATCGTCATTCGGAGGTAACGGAGCAATGACGACCCGAAAACTGGGGAGCCTGAACGCGAGCAAAAATGCTGACATGAGCTGAGGAAATGACATCGGGCGTTTTCCGGTCGCCCAAGTTGTTCCTGGAGTCTCCCCATTCGCGAGATCATGTGCACACTAGCCGTTCCGATGACATCGCCGTGGTATTGCCGTTGCGCCGTTTGGGAAGACCTGGTACCGGCTGCCCTTAGCGTAATTCGTGAGGTACAATAACTTGTCATGGCAAGCTTCGCTCCTCATCTCGCACGATCTCAACTACAAATCGACCACGTTGCGCTGCAAAATGGCTAGCCGGCAGCAGCCCTCTCTTTTGCGACTGCTCTTTTGGGTGACGGTCTTCGAGTCGGCACCATTCGTTTTGTCGACTTCCAATCATGGCAGATCTCAAGAACCGTTATGGAAAATGGTCGACCCCTTAATCGGCACAGTGGGCCCCAAACCTGGTTCCGCCATCGCAGGCGGTAATTCCTTTCCCGGCGCAAGTTTACCATGGGCGATGGCAAAGCCAGGCATCGACACGAGCTACATTGGGCTTCCGAATGGCAGTGCAGTGGACGCCAATGCTGGATACACGCCTTTGGGGAATGTAACAGCAGTGAGCATGACGCACGTCAGCGGATCTGGCGGAGCTCCAACCTGTCAGTCCTCTGCTTGCGCCAATGAGGCGCCTACGAGTATTAACAAGATCTAGATGGATTGATCTCGCAGATGCCGTTGTATGGCAGTCTCGAGTCTATTAACCTTGCCGACAACATGACCTATGCCCAGAACCGCAGTCTGGAACTGGAGTCCGCAACAGTGGGCCTCTTCACTACGACTCTACAGAACGGCATCAAGATCGAGATCACTTCTGGTAACCATACCGGATTCATGCGATACACCTTCCCTCAACCAGAAGTCATTTCAAACAATCTCTCCACTGTCAATGTTGATTCCACGATGACCGGAGCCCTGTCAGCCAACGAGCACGATGCGCACGTCCTAGTCGACCTCACACACGTGTTGCCAGCTTATTCTTCGATGGCTTACTCTCAAAAGTTCCTGCACGGGCAGCTACATGTCGGGTCTTCCTCGAACGGATTGCCATCATACCATGGATCAGCGACCTACACGGGTGGCTGGCCGCAGCCTGAAAGTCATACGATCCATTTCTGCGGGAACTTCAGTGTGCCTGCAGGATCTGTGCTCACCCCAACATCCGACTATGTTCAGGGAGAACTTCCCAGTACTCCCGGCGCTGGCACGTTTAGCTGGCAGTACAACCCTTATTCGCCACCAAGCTTCAAGTCTCGCCCTGTGCCGCGCGCGTATGCTGACGTCCGGTCCTATGCTGGGAGCGGAATGGGCCTCGGCGCTCTTTTCAGCTGGTCGCCTAAGGAGCAGCGAGTCAACGGCACCCTTGCTCTTGAGGCCAAGTTGGGCATTTCGTACATCAGTGCTGCACAGGCATGCTCTCACGTGGAAAATGAGCTTCCTGATGCGAAATCCTTCGAGGATGTCGTTGACGAAGGAAGGCAAGTATGGGAAGAGAAAATCTTGAGCAAAATTCAGATCGGAGACGATGGCCATGCGACAAGCAACAATAAAACTTTGAAGAGAATGCTTTATTCTGGGCTGTATCAGACAGGCCTGATGCCAACCGACAAAACTGGCGAATGCCCTAATTGGGAGTCAAACGAAGCTAAGCCATACTACGATGACCATTATACGCTTTGGGACACTTATCGTACCCTGCTACCCTTGTATCACCTGGTCTTCACGAAGCCGTACTCACGCATTCTTTCTGGTCTCATTTCTATCTTCACTGAAGAGGGTTACCTCCCCGCCGGTCGCGCAGCAAACTGGAACGGTCGCGTTCAGGGCGGCACGCACGCAGACATGGTATTAGCGGACGCTTTCGTCAAGAGCGTCCATGCACTTGCCGGCGAGACTGGTCGAGGCGAGCTCGACAGCGGAATCGATTGGCAAGAGGCCTACAAGGCAGTGATGAAAGACGCGAACGTATTGCCCGAGCGCAATGTTGATCCGGTCGCTTTTGACGGCGCCACCAAGGAAGGCAGAGGAGCACTGGACGATTATCTCTCCCTTCGCTTCATCACGCGCAACCACACTCGCAGTGTTTCTCGCGGTGTCGAGTATCCGCAGAACGACTTCGCGATCTACAGCATGGCAGCTGGACTAATGAAGTCCCAGGAAGACTTCGATCAGATGCGCGAACGTGCAAGCTGGTGGCAAAACCAATGGAATCCCATGGCAAACACGACTCTCAACGGCACGGGTACCTTCACTGGCTTCCCGGGCCCTAGAAACGCGGATGGGACGTGGAACACCACGGCGTATGACCCGCTGAGCTGCGGAACATGCGGTTGGGATGCAGACATCTACGAAGCCAAGGTTTGGGAGACTGCATTCAGTGTCGCACCACACGACATGGCCAAAGTCATAGATCTGATGGGCGGTGACGAGGCTTTCGTCCGTCGCTTAGACGCGTCTTTCATTCCAGGTTTCGGCACATCAGTCGGCGCAAACAACGATGCCGGCTCTGCTCTCTTCAACCCAGGAAACGAACCATCCTTCGCAACGCCATTCCTCTACAACTACGTACCTGGCATGAACTGGATGACAGTCAATCGGACTCGAGCTATCGTCGACGACTTCTACAGCGACGACCGTAACGGATACCCCGGAAACATCGACGGTGGTGCTCTACCCAGTTGGTTAGTGTTCAATCTCATGGGCATGTATCCGGTGTCTGCCCAGCCACTTTACCTTCTTTCTGCCCCTCGGTTCTCTTGGCTTAAGGTCTCGCTTTTTAGTGGAACGGCAGTCGAGACGTCGTTGACTATCCGGGCCCAAGATCTGTCAAGCACAAGCTATTACCCGCAAAAGGTTACCTGGAACGGGCAGGAACTCGATCGAGCTTGGTTGAAACATAGCGAGATTGCGGAAGGAGGCGAGTTGGTATTCTATATGGGTGAAGAGCCTAAGAAGTGGGATGTTGGTGAGCGGCCTTGGTCACTGTCGACGTCGTCGCTGTAGGCATTGTGATGAGTCGCAATCTAGAAGCAAAGCTTTCAGGGTAGAAACATACATTGTATTGAAAGCCATCTAGTCTTGAAATTTCAACAGCGTAAATGCAGCAAGAGGCGACACAAGTTCAGGTTCCTTCACTTTACCAACCGGCCTGCCCTCCATTGACTAGGAGCGTATCTACGACTTTGCCGTCCAACAAGGCTTCGACAGTGACCAACCCAGTCGGGACATCTTGCAGGATAACCTGCCCCCGGCAAAATGTACACACCCGTTTTTCCTCTATCGCCTTGCTCACTACCAGGTTCATTTCATTCATTTTCGGCGCCAGCGTGCCATACCGTGTCAATGGCGCGGCGATGTGAACGGTCAAGTCTTCACACGACCTAACCCTGGTGCACAGGGCAATTGTCGCGTTAAGTGCTGTGCCGCTCAGTTCTGTCAGGCTTGGAACGACGAATGCCTGGCTATTGATCCGAAAAGTCTTTTCCGGTACATTAGGTGCCTGGACGGAGAAAGACGTGGCATTTTGGATGGCGGGTCCAGAAAGCGAGAACGGGAAGTAAGTCGTAGTTCCGTATCTACCACCACTGCGACCAAAGACGGAGCTTCCCGTCTCGGCTTCTGGTTCAAGTTCCGTCTCGTCGCCGCTCACGCGAAGAGTTAGTGATCGCGGGGATGAGCTGCCTGCCGGTGTGAGGATTCTGACCTTGCCCGAAAGCATCAACTTTCCGTCGTCGCTGAAGTCGTAGGTAACATTCACAGGCTTGACCGGCATGACAGTGATTGACTCAGAGAGCTGAACGCCAGCAGGTACGGTGTTGATGGCTCGGCCCATGAGATCGACACATGTAGCAAGAAAGCCTGTCCCTTGCGCGAATAGATCATGCATCGTCGCATTGTTGTCGCTCTCGTAAAGCCGTTTATCGGAGTTCATCGTGTCGTTATACGACATAACCAGCGGTCCTCCTTTGTTTCCCGTTCCGTTCAAGTATTCGCCGAGGACATTTGGATCAAAGACGCCGCGTGTAGTGTCGAAGTTACTACCGCCATTCGTGTTATTGGGCGTGACGAAGCTCTCGTCTACAGCCTCCGGGAAGCCACCCTATACCGATGAGTGAGTATCGTCCAATCGAATAGCAGCCAGAAACCTACGTGGTGTACGCTGCCCAGAGTGTGTCCGCAGGCCGTGAGCCCAATAGCATCCACCTTGTCGAACCCCGCGCGCTCGAAGAACAGCAACGTCTCTTCCAGATCCGTCTCTGGTGCTGGGACGCCCGTCGTCTTTCCTGCTTCAATCGCATCAACGCGGCCAGGTCGGAACGGCATCTGCGCACCTCCGCATAGATTATTCGACATAACCGTGCCGAGCGCAACAAGATCAGCCACTACCGCTTCGTCAGCACCACTTCCATCACCAAACACTCATCAAGAGCAATGTACTCACTAGAAATTCCCTCCCCAACAAACGGCCTCCAAAACGAAAAACTGTCGTTGAACGCACTCCCCTTATTCTCTTCCCTCGCCGTCTCGAACCCAATACTAGCATCAATACCTCCCGTGCCCGCACTCACATTCGCGGTAATGAAGTCGTGGAACATGACGCGCATCCATTGGGCAGCGGTGGTGCGACCACTATTTCGCCCTGTAGTACCGGTCTGCGAAACATAATTCGTGCAAGGGGTGATTGCGGAGGAGAAATTGGAAGCGTAGGCGCCCCAGTTGTCAACGAGGATGTGTTCGAGGAAGGAGTGTGTGGGTGTGGGGTAGTAGAACGCGGCGCGTGTGATTGGGAGAGTGCAGAGGATTGAGAGGAAAGAGGTGGTGGAGGCGAAGAGTAGCATTTTCGCTTGCAGGTAGGCACTGAATCTATGACTAGGATACTAGTGGTATTTCAGAGTATGCTGACGGTATCTCATCTTATATACCGTCTTCGTATCATACTGTGTCGTCTGAATTTGGGGTATTTCCTCTTCGGGATGCAGTGCTACATGGCAACTATCAAGTGATCCAGATCTCCATGATACTGCCTCATGCACGACTAACGCTGAAGACCTAGTTGGTGGCAGTATGTGATTGGCTGCGTAGACAACACCGATCCAGCCTGCATGGTTGGGCGTGATTAGATAAGCCACAGTAAGCTGACATTCTTCTACCACCACCTGCCTTTTAGGAAGTTCAGAGTTGGAGGTTTCCTATTAAACTTTACACCTCATACAAGAGAAAAACTAAACAAGTCTACAGGCTACATTAAGCTAAAACCTTGCTAAGACAGTGACCTAGCGCTAATGTAGGCTCTAGGCTGTTCAGCTTTTTCCTAGGTTGGCGTGTTCATACTCTGCCTGCAGCCAACATGCTACCCAACTTGAGCCATCGTGTGGCGATAAGAGCTACGGCACCCACACCCATTAAGCCTGCCGCACAGAACCACACACCCTTGAAGTTCTCTACCGCACCATTTCCCTCACCCTTGAGTGCACCCATGGCAGGGTTACCGAGCAGTCCGCCGAAAGCAGCGACTAGATACGCCAATCCGAGACGTACGCCGATGGAGGCCTTGTTGGGCGAGAGATTTGTGAGGACAGGACCAGGGATGATTATGACGCCGCCAGAAAGGAACCCGTAGACGATGCTGATAGCGATGAGACCGTTCAATTCCTGAGCGAGTGGTAGCATACAGAGAGTGATGATGCAGGCGACGGTGAGAGGAAGTAGGGTGTTGACACCGCCGTACCTAAAGTTGTGAGTACTTGGCTAGGAAGAAGATTGGATGATGAGAACCTACCTGTCGGCGATGAAGTTTGGAACAAAACGCCCAAAGATATTGGCCGCGTTCATGATCGACAACAAGTTGAATGCCATATCCTTCGACACACCGAGCTTGATAGCGTACTCCTGAATGAAGAAGAACGGCACGAACGAGGACGCGACGAACAGCGTGAACGCGACGACGAAGAACGTGTATGGCAGATCCTTGAAGTGGTGAAAACCGAAGCTGGAGCCCTTGGATCCGTACTGAAGCTGCAAGCGCATCACCACAAAAGCGACAGCGTTGGTCACCAAGATAATGAGCGCAAAGATGCGAACAGCCCACGCGAACCCGACGCTGAGAAAGAGCGAGCGTAATGAGAGAGTGTAAGCGATACCAGCAACACTGGCACCAGTCGATGCAAGACCAGTAGCCAGCATGCGTTTCTTCTCGAAGAACATGGCTAGCACGGCGACAGGCACAATCGCCATCAGGCCGCTGCCAATACCCATGCACACTCCCTGAGCGAAGAAGATGGCCCAATAGCTCTTGAAGAAAGAAGTGAGGATCAAACCCAGTACCTCAAGGCCCGTGCCAACAGCGATGATACTTTTGAGGTACCCCCGATCAAGCAGCGCACCGCCAGGCAAGCAACCGATAGTAGTGAAGAAAAGCTGTATCGATCCGATCCAGGCAATACGCGACGCATCCTGCTCCGGCATCAAGGTGTCAACGTAGTATGTTTGGAAGACGCCGAATGCGTTAGGCAAGCCCCAACTGTTCGCGAACAGAATGAATCCACCAAGAACCTGCATCCACGCCACTTTGCCATGATCAACAGGGTAATCTTCATTAGCTTGCGCACTCGCTGTGATCTCGTGCGAAAGCAGCTGTTGTGTTCTTTCACGCTGCGTCTCGTGGTATGAGAGCAAACTCTCTCTCTCGGGATCCATGGTTTTGTATGGGAATCGGTAGGGTATTTCGATAGTGATGATAGTGCCTAATAATTGGGCGCTGGTGTGTAAGCTGGCCGTGCCATGTAGCAACTGGATTTTCTCAGGGTCGATGCTGGATGGGGACGCTAGTGGGTAGATGCCGCGGAGGATCGTCACTTTTAGTCATGAAACTGCAGGTACAGGTCCGAGCGGTGAAGGGAATCGCGCAAGCGAGGCACGATGTCGTTTGCTGCGAAGCCGGGAGCAAACAGCACGAATCAGGAATAATGGAGACATCAAAGGATGTTTATGCAGTATGTATGAGTAGTTTAATTGAGGACGCCCTGAGATGGTGATTTAAATTACATTCGGCACTTGTAGCTACTCTGGCTACATCACAAACACCTTCGCCTTGTTCTCTTCACTTCCTTCGTCGTCACGAGGGTAACTCCCTATCCGATGCCAGACCACCTATAAGAGATCCGACACTCTGAACAAAGCCTATCTACCTGAGTTCTTCCTGAGCAGGACCCTGTGCAACACCAGCTATCCGCGCAGACTGTGAGAGAGTGCACACACATATTACCACGGTCAAGAGGCAGAGCGCACCACCGTAGGCCAGTCCGAATCCGGTAAGACGACGAGAGAATATGTCACGCCAGGTGACGACCTTGCCCGGCTTATATGACGAGTCGACCAACCATCTAGCATCTTCTAATCCGGCCCTGAATCGTTCCATGTCGGCCTTTGTGAGACTGATCATGATCTCGTACGGCTCTCCTTCTTGTCCTTCTTTGTCTTCTTCTCGGGGCAAGACCACGATGCCACCTTCGCTGACCCACGCCGCTCGCCGAATAGCAGTCGCATTTGACTTGCTCGTGCCTGGGATGCACCACTCCCTGTCAGCTCCCATCCTTTGCCAACTAGTGATGTATAGGTCTGGGCCTTTGGGAAACTTCAAAAGGGATTGCTGCGCTTCGGCAGGGTTGGTAAGGACGCTGTTGATCTGGGTGACTGCCCATTTCGCGTTGATGGCGTGCAGAGCATCTGTAATCTTGGCTGCGATGTCCTCAAGAGAGGCCACAGCGCCACCAAGATCCAAGGTAGGCGTAGCGGACAACACCAGGTTGCCAAGATAATCCGGGGATGAGAAGGGCAGTGGAAGGAACTTTCTGAGATCTACGACGACGGCAAGGGTCGACTGCGTGTTACCCGAAGCCGTGATCGACTTTGAGCGAGCGCGTATGACATTTGCCCAGACGATGGCTGACAGTGCGGTGAAGTTAGATACACGCTTCCCGATCTTGATGGATAAGTCGTTGCGAAACTCTTCGATAGCTTGCGATGAGAAGCGAAACATCTCGGCAACGACTTTGTTGGGTCCTTCATCCGGTCCTTTACGGAGCTCAAAGCGCCTCGCGAATGGCTTCTCAGGTGTATTAGTAGACTGGCCTGCTGCATCGGCTTCCTGAACCAGCGTTGCAAGCGCTTGACGCGCTGATGACGGATCTGGTACGACGTTCCATTCCTTGACGATATCCTTCAATGGTTGAAGCTGGTCCTTGTAGCTTGGCACGCGATAGTATCTAGCAGGCGGACGAACCGGCGGTAGTTTGTTCTTCTTGGAACTGAGAGCTCGTACCGCATCGGACCATATCTTTTGAATCCTTCCGTTGCCAGTGCCATCGACAACGGCATGATACCACCAGGCGCTCAGTATCAGACCTCCGGGGATGAAGGTAGCCTGGGCCGCGAAGGTTGGCAAAGGTCCTTTCGAAAAGCTTGTCATCCTTTCGGCATACGCATCTTCGCCCAATCCAGCGTGGTGTTTCAGTTCGTTTGGGCAGAAGATAGTAGCGGGCAACTCGTCTGGGAGGAACGCGTCCTTCGCAAGCGAATCGTAGTCATGCTGTGCATCGTCGTAACTGACTGTGAATATACGGCGTGCCTCGGCTTCGAGATCGATGGGGTCGGGGTATTGCACACGGAGAAGGTCGGTAGAAGGGTCTAAGTCCACAGTGCCAGCAAGATATGGAAACTGTCTCAGAACTTCTTTGAAGCCGTTGTGCAGCGCCTCTTTTGCTTCATGGGCGCGACTGATGTCCGGAAAGGGAAAGATGATGTAGTAGCGGCCATACACGCGTATGTGGGGCTGCTGATCGAGGTGAGATAACTCTAGCTCTTTTGGAATGCCGGTTGACATTGCGGGGGTAGTGGTCGGGAGAAGTTGACGAAAGTAGGCTTTCTTCGTGTTGGGCTGGATTCGGAGGCGAAGGCTTTTAGGGTCCGTTGCAGTGGAAGGTCGGTGGTCGAGGCGCAGGTAGCTGTGCGAGAATCTCCAAGGGCACTCCATGAAAATCTACCGGCGAGTATAAATGCTTCGCGGTGCTGTGAAGTCGCACTCTGTAGAGGTGAAACAGGTGAATGCATTGCCTTGTGCGTTGTATTGGCTCTTCGATGTGATGGTACTGGTGAAGGCATCTCGGGTGCGTTGGCAGTTGCAGACGGATGCTCTGATTGATATGCAATACATAACAAACAAAAAGCATGGAACCCAAATCTCCGAGCTTTGACATCGTTCCGACCATGCACTGGCGATCCTATTGCACGGTGTGCTTGCCGACACTAGAGCTATTGGGCACGGTGCGCGAACCGTTGCCCGAGTCGCGTGGCATGATATTCAGCGGTTGGCACAGATTAGCTTCATGCCGCATGTCGCTCGAGCCCGATCATAGCGGACTGATCAACCTGCCCGCCCAACACACCAGCCTTCTGGAGTATGCCAACGGTCTTGTTGACAACCTCCTTGTCCACGCCCTTCACATCTTTGGCGAAGCGAACAGTCTTCAACCACTCTCGCGCGTCCTCTTCCGAGTAATCGAGCTTGGTGCTAATGTACTGGACGGCCTCTTCTTGGTTCTCCTCGAAGTGTTTGACTCCCTTGTTGATCTTGTCCATGACGTCCTCGAGTTCCCCAGTAAGCACTGGCTTGCTGGCGTTGGGTGCCGAACTCCAGTTCTTCGGGTTCAATAGATGGTTTGCGGCGACGATCTTCCACGAGGACCAGGGTGTGTAGATCTCGCCGATGCGCTTGATCTCGCCGTTGTCGTAGTAGCGCTTCGACGTGAAGTGCTCCCACATAAAGAAGGCGGCCGTGCTGTCGTTGACTCCATCGCGGAGGTTGGCAAACGTGTTCAGCACCTCGACGGGGAATGGTGGGCTGTTGGACGAAGTGTCGAGCCACCCTTGCTGGTCGGCAAGCACGAAGCTCATCACGTAGCTGCCACTTCCTATCCTGGACACGCCGACCTTCTTGCCCTTCAGGTCTTGTATTCCGTTGAGCTCATCCCTCTTGGCGCCTGTGGATATGGCCCAGCACAGCGGAGTCTCGACGTATGTCCCTACCACGCTGAAGCCAGCGTCCTGCTTAGCCGCCTGTGCTTTTCCCAGTGCCGCTATCCAGCCTTCGGTAAGGCCAACTCCGATATCGATTTCGTCGGCTTGCAGCGCCGTGACCATGTGCCCTGTGCCACTGGGGAACGGGAGGAGCTTCGCGTCGAGGCCGTAATGCTTCTTCGCAAACTCGAGCGGTGTGGAGAAGTGTTCTATTTTCGTCAGCGGGCGATGCAACAGTATTGATGACGCGCGTACCTGGCACGAAGCCGATGCGCAGTGGTGCCATGGCTGCAATCTTGGTTGAAAAGCTTCGGACTGGTCGTGGGGCTGGTGAAACGCGTGCAAGTCGCAGTGTGCGTAGCATTGCTGGAGAGGAATATGACGGGAGGAGAAGACTACGGCAATGAGGGGTGTATCGATCAAGGAGTGTGAGTTAACAAAGTTTGGTTAGGGCCGAATCATCAGTCGACCGCCGGTGGTTATGCGCAAGCTCACGTCACATGAAGCTGCCCGAGGTCGATCGCCTAGTTCCGATCGGAAGGCCATTCCGATCAGCTCCGATCCTCGCTTTCCACTCCATGTCTCGGCGTCATTCCATGTCACCAACTCCTTCCCATGGTCTTCTTGCTGTTTTCGAAATATCCCGTTCCTAGAATTTCTGTTGCGTCCTCGCGTAATTGGCTATCGTTCCGTCATTCCTGTCCTATCGCCCTCTCCACATTTGCTACGATGTCTTCCGACAGTAGTAGAACATCAATAAAAGCTAGGACGATAGCCATTGTAGGCGCTGGACCATCGGGTGTGGCGGCAGCAAAGTACCTCCGAGCAGAGAAGGCTTTTGATAAGATCGTACTGTTTGAACAACGCAATCGATCAGGAGGCATTTGGGTATACACGGGTGAACAGCGGGACGAGAATCTTTTCGACATACCTCAGACCGATCCCAATAAGGACGTTCAAAAACCGGAGTGGCAGCCCAAAGATGCTGTAGTGAATGGGAATATTGATACGAATGGCATCAATGGAACTTCCAGAATCCCCTCTTTTTTGTCACCAATGTACGAAAAGCTTGAGGTGAGTCCTGACTGTACACATGCATGCGAGACTTAGACTGACTCGGTATCTCCACCTTTCTAGACTAACATTCCCAGAAGTCTAATGGGCTTCCAAGATCTAGACTGGCCTGCGGATAGTCAACTCTTTCCTACTCATGAGACAGTACTAAAATATATCGACGATTACTCCGCGGATGTGCAAGACCTTGTTCGGTACTGCACACAAGTCATCAATGTCTGCCCAGTAGACCCAGATGTCGCCAGCAGCCCATGGAAAGTGACTACGCGTAACCTACTTAAAGACGAAGATGTATCCGAAGTCTACGATGCAGTTATTGTAGCGAATGGCCACTTCATAGTTCCCTATATACCACCCATGGTCGGTATCAAGGAGTGGGCTGCACAGCACCCTGGGCGCATTAGCCATTCGAAGTATTACCGGAAGCCCGAGGACTTCGCCGGAAAGAAGACAATAGTTGTGGGAAACTCGGCGTCTGGCGCAGACGTCAGCGCTCAGATCGCTGAGTTCTGTCAAAAGCCGCTCTTGTGGTCCACAAGGTCGCAATC